GTTAGGCTGCATGAAGATGGGACCTCTGGTCTTCCCAACGATCGCGAGCTGAAAACAGGTCGAAGCAAGGAAGGTTGTATGAGAAAAGACTTCTGGTCTAACTCTGATAATAAGTCTATAAACTTTAACCCAAATTGGCGATGGCAGACTCCATTACATAACATAAAGATGTTAATTCTAAGCTGATCTATTTCAATCTGGAGCTTGTAGATCTATTTTAATAGTGGTGTTCCACAGAACTTAATTATATGGCCAAAGGGCAAGGTATTAGTTACAGGTGGTAAGAAGACTAGACAAAAATTATTAAACCAAATAAGTCTAGTGAGGATCTACAATATTAAATTGGAATCCAAGCAAGGACGCCAGTTCCACAGGTGGTGAAAATGATAGTACGACACTATGCTAGTGGTATCTTTCGAGGATCAGTGATAACAGTAACTGGAATACTGGGGTTAGTCTTTATAATAATATTCCATAATAACTTGCTCCTTGCAATAATGGACCAGCAGATTATAGATGGGTTTAAACTAGTGATAGGATTCCTTCCCTGTGAAAGTTCTGTCTGACATATAGATACATCCCCAAGGTGTTTAAATGAACGCATAGTTGGATAATAGTGGTTAGCATAGCTAGTTTTATAGTAATATATATGCACTAGGCAGTATTAATCTACAGATTAACTGTAGAGACATAAAAGAGTATCCTGTACCAACCAATTTCTAGTTAATTTGTAGAAACATTTGGTGTCTGTCTGAATATATAAACATATCAATAAAGATCATGTACCATGCACACATTCCACTATAAAAAAAAAAAAAAAAAAAATTAAATATAGATAGTTTTATATAATAAATTTTTTTTTTTTAAATAAAACAACTTTTTAAATAAATAAAATTTTAATAATAATAATAAATTTTATATTTAATTATAACTATTAATTATGTAATTTTAATTAATTACCAATAGTAGCTATATTAAAAAATTTATTATTATTATTATAAAGCTATTTTTCAAAATAAAATATATATACTGCTAAGTTTTTATTAAATTTGAATAAATATTTAATATTAAATTTTATAATTTTTGTTAAAATAAAATTTTTTTACATTTTATCAAATAAAAATTTAAATATATAATAAAAATTTATAAAACTTAATATTTTAATATTTTAATATATATTGAACAAAATTTATTAATATCAAATTATTTGTTAAAACAGTAGTTATAAAAATTATGTAGATATCAAAACTTTAACAAAAAAATTAAAAAAATTTTATTCAAAAAAAAAATAGTTAAATGTAATAATAAAAATTTAACAATATATAGAATTCATTATAAGAAGCAAGTTTACTTACTATATAAAAATAATTTTTAAAATAAAATAAAAAGCTTAATATATAAAAACTATTTTTAATTAATTATAATAATTTTTAAGCAATCCTTTATTTATTGAAGGAGATTGTATATTAATAAAAGTCTCGTATTTCGTATTTAATATCTGTTTCAATTTTTTTAAAAAAAATTATATAGATTATAGAACTTTATTTATTGAAAAAAATTTTTTTTTATTGTGTAATTTATAATATTTTGGAATGACTGATATAAAATCGCGTAACTTGTGACGATTCAATCACCTGGTTGCATCAATAATCCATTATGTTTATAACGGTGATGGTAGTTGTATTCATTTAAAAAAATGAAAAAATGTCTTTTTATCCAGGAGACGAAGAGCCGCGGGATAGGCCTTACGAAGGTATTTATCTTTCTCTAATAATCGTTTTCATATATGTTATCCTAAGCAATTACTCATATTATTATATTAGATCCAGCTGTAATTGAGCAGCAACGTATAGCAGAAAAACTTGGTCCATGCCCAAAGGGCGGTTTGCATGAGTTAAGATCTTACTAGTAAGTATAGACATACATCAACCAATTTTATTTAACCATGGCTATTAAGTAGTATCAAATTAAAAAATTTACAAACAATTTTAAAATATTCAGTACGAGTGGAACTCTATTCTGGGCTTTCGTGTTAGGCTTACCGAGATTTTGTGGTTATTCAAAGAAAAAAACTGTATGTAAAAAATGTAATGCTACGTTTAAAGGTTTTTATTTTCCGGAAGCTGGTAGCATGGATTAACTACGAATGATGGATCGATTAAACGCCCAAAATGTCTTATCGAAATTAATACCTCTTTAATATAATATGTAATAATCACGATCAGAAAATTTATATTTCCACGCCAAATACCGATTGTATTTTTTTAAAAAGCGACGATAGTAATGTAAAAAAAAAAAAAAATAAAGAAAATCAAATACACAAAATTTCAGATATTAAAGTGTAAATAAAACACTCTAACTTCATGTGATGTCAAAATTTTAAATCAAAAAAAAAGTCGCTGAAAATAACGATTGGAATCAGTGACGACAGATGGCAAAAATAAAGATGCGCTTGCATACCGTAAAAGTGTCAAATTATTTACGTAATCAACAAGAAAACAACACAAAACTGGATGTAAACAAGCAAATATAAAATAACCATTTTAACATCACTTTTCTGCAGGCGTACTACTGTTTAGGAGCCTCGGTAGGATGATTACTAGCAGGCGTCGGTTGATAATTATATGTTTGAGTTGGTTGTTGCTGTTGCTGTTGCTGCTGTTGGTAATACTGCTGGTAATAACCTTGTTGCTGTTGATTATATTGATCTTGCGTGTATTGTTGACCATAATAACCGGAATATGATGATTGTTGCGTAGTAGTTTGATCACCAGTCCCAGGAGCTGAGGATGTTGCAGGTTGATTGACAGCGGTGCCCGTTGAGGCCGTATTATATACAGGGTATGCGCCAGGAACTTGGGTCGCGGTGGCGGTAGTTACTTGCGTTTGCCCACTGACGGCAGTAGGAAATTGAGTGGTAGCAACAGGAGTGGTCCCATAGTTATATCCGTATTGCTGGTAACCGTAATTTGGAACTGTTGAGACCGTTTGCGAGTCCGATTTGACTTCAGTTGGTTGCCCAAGCTTACTTGGGTCTACGGCGGTCGGCTGCGCCTGGTAGTAACCAACTAGGAGATAAAATATTTGTTAAATTTCCCTTTTTTTTAAAAAAAAAAAAAAAAATGACGTAAGCTACAAAAAAAAGCATATACCTTGTTGTTGGTTAGAGGGTTGACCTACTTGCTGAATAACAGGTTGTCCAGAAGATTGACCAACGGGCTGCCCAGCAGTTATTTGATTATATTGGGGAGGTTGACCGTAAGTGCCATATTGTGTTTGAGTTGGATATTGATTATATGTTGTCGCTTGTGTTTGATTAGAATATTGACTATATTGACCGTAGTTGGTTGGTTGTTGCTGATTCTGGACTCCATATGTACCGGAGGTAAGATATCCACTGGTGTTATTGGTTTGCCCATAATCACTGCTAGTGTTTTGACCATAAGAGGGTTGCTGTTGCGGTGCGGCATAAGAGTTTGTCAGATATCCAGGATTTTGTTGATAACTTTGCCCCCCGGTATTTCCTTGCATAGGACCACTCTGTTGATAACTATTGTTTTGTTGATAGCCAGTTTGCTGATATCCACTTTGTTGGTACCCACTCTGTTGGTAACTACCTTGCTGATAACTACCTTGCTGATAACTACCTTGCTGATAAGAGCTTTGTTGATAATTCCCTGAGCCGTAGTCTCTGTTTTACAGAAA